AAAAAGAGGGTGTTAGTTTCCAATTTCTGTTAAATAGGACCAAAGTACAATGGTAAGGAATGGTAATAGTAAAATCGTTAGCTAAACCTGGACAATTCAGGCAGAAGTTTAGTGATTGTGCTTTTAACATATGTATGAATATATGACTCTTGAATATAAAGTTCTATTTTACTACTTTGGTTAATTTGGAATTATTACCAAATGCTATTTTTGCTTTAACTTCTTTAATTCACATGTTTTTGTAGAGTTAACACATAGAGTGAACAAAGATGATATGAATTGATTTACTGTAACATTAGTCCATGCCTCCACATTTTTAAAATTTGCTTTGAACGAGTTAGTGACAGTTTGGGGCCATTTATGCTGTCAACACAGATGCAAAAAAAAAAAATGATGGTTTTGTTATTGATATGTACAAAGCTATCAAGTTGACTGTGCTCTCTCCTGCTATTTTGATATAAGGTAAGTTCATAACATAATCTTGAAGCTAAAACAATTGTTGACTTTATAACAGCAAGTGCAGAACACACATACACACACACACACACATATGTGATTCACAGTTCTGTTGTGATTCATCATAGGAATTCCTTTTCCTCAAGGGCATGTTGAATTAACCCAATTTAAGATTTTACTTTATGTCAGTGAAATTGATCAAATCTTTGGACCTTTATACACAGTTTATAGCACAAATTTATACAAAAATTATAGCACAGTTTGCATGTAATATATTTCTTAAACCTGCAGTTTGTTATACTGTCCATTTTTTAAAATTCACTGATTCATATATGTTTTTTTATTTTGAAACAGAATATAGAATAGCATTTTGAAGTGTTATCAGTGAATCCTAAAGTTTATCCATAAAGGAGATAATACATTATAGAACACATTAATTCATATGTGAAAATTTGGGTTACTGCCTATGGTAGTATATAGTAGGTTTGTATTTTCGAGTAAAAACATAACAACTTTATTTTCCCCCATCTTAATGCAAAGTTGTTTTTCTACATATTATAAAAGTGATACTTTTTAAAGAGTTGCAGTTAAATATGGACTATTGGTTGCTATATCAAATCACAAATAACTGGTACCAGCCACACCCACTTAGTACCTCACCTGCAAATCACGCTCTGTTCCACTTGTCACCTCTATCTCTAGCCTAACTAAGAGAATAAAAAGGAGTCATGAGACACTGTTGGTCTGGTTATTTGTGAGTTATACGTTAGGTATTCCTTACTCAGAATAGGAAAAGCACTGAAATTGTATGAACGACGCATTTAAAAAAATAATCAGATTATATTAGTATATTTTCATTTATTTAAAAATTGATTTAGATACAATCAATTGTATCTTGGATAAAAAGGAACATACTGGAAATTATGTATAACCAACAGCTACAGCCCTGTATTGCTTAAATATTCTGGAAAAAGAATTGTCAGGGAGGGGAGATGTTCGTCAAAACCTGGGTATGCCCCCAGGACTACATCTAGTATGTGGACATCATTTTCCACAAGCTGTGGCAGAACACAGGGTGAGAACAATTATTTTAGAATGCCAAGTGGCTGTATTATAATATCTTGCCTCTGTGGTACTCCTAAAATGTGGACTTCTAGGTTGATATTGTGGTGATACAGCAGGATTTAACACACCTTAAAACTCCTGTAGAACAGGTAACTGTGAAACCATTTCAAATTTACACAAATAAGTCCTCTTGTTCTTTCTTTTAATACTAACTAGATTGTGTAGTTTATTTTATACAAATGATATAGGTTAAATAATAGTCTGTAGTTCTTTGCCAACAGAAATGAAAATTTAGGAATTCCTATGTTACACGGATGCAAATATTAATAGCAATTAACATGGAAATGAATGAATGAATGAACATTTAAAAAATATTAATTATTTTAGCTCTACTTCCCTAACTTTAGTCACTTGTAGAATATCATTGCACAAATTTGGCCATACCTGAGTGCCATCTGTACTATTTTCCTAGTATATGTTTCTTTAATTTGACTCACTTTGTCAACTTAGATTTATTTAAAGGGGAGTTTATGTTATTGCTACAAATGGGAAGCCAGTACAATATCACTTGCCATAAATTAGATGTCAGCTGTAAAAATAAATGCAAATCTAAGCAAGACAGCATTGTTAAATTCTAAGTAGATATTCCTATCTGCTTATCCTGAGGTCTGTTTTCTTTGTTATGAAAGAACATTAGCTAATCTTTGAGAAATGGTGATGAAATACTTGCTCCATACTGAAACTTAACCTTGATATAATCAATAGAAGGAAAAGAAAATTGGAAAAGAAATCCTTTTCATACCCAATCTACTTACTGTATAAAATTATACTTTATGTAAGTACCCCATGCATTGCAAAACTCAATTTTTAAAAATAATTGTTTGGGGGGCATCCCAGTCAGGACCCCCTGTCGTTTTGAAAGCTGTAACTCTCAGCTCTAATAAAACTATCCTCTGATACAAACTCTAAAAATAAAAATAAAAATAATAATAATCATTGTTTGGTTCTGTTGGCTGTAGAGTCAAATGAATTAATCAAACAACTAAATATTTTGAATGAGAAAGGAAAAGTCTAAGATCTGTTGATATAAAAAACAGTCCTTTCCTGTTGGAGTAAGGGAAATGGAGTCCTATATTTGTGAAAATTAAATCATGCCAAAACATATTACAAAAAAAGCGTATTCTTTGTCAAATACATAGAGTACATTTTAATGTTACAGATGCTATCAATGTGGGTCAAATGCAAATTTTTAGGAGCATCAGTCAAACCCAAATTTAAAGTGCAAGTGTAATGTCAACTAAGAGCAGGGCCTAATTCGACTGGATTGACGCTGACTTCTTTCCTTTCCTTGATTAGTTTTTCATTTTCCAGCAGCTAATACCCAGGCTCTGAACTGATGTATGGAAATTCTCATGCTCTGCATTTTGAATAGAAATTGTCACTTCATGACTTCTGGGCCATTAGTTTTGTTTTCTTACTAGATGATGGAGAATCTATTTTTATATGTGTCCTTTGTTCATAAAGGTCAGATCTAAATAGCCAGTGTCTCTACTATATATGCCAGAGGGCAGAGCTAATATTTTAATTGCCTTTATTATGAGCAACTTTCAATAGCTTACTTTTAAATAAATTATTAACATAAAGTACGTAATACCAGATTTCACAGTTGCCGAAGTGATTTTGAGTCCATGCCATCTCTCGTTTTATGGCACAGCAATTCTTTTAGCATATAAAAATATGCTTGCCAGAGTTTAATCAAAACTTATACTAGTCTACAGATGTAATTTGGCATATAATTGTATACTTTTCTATACTGTTTGTTGAGATTTAGATATTATTAGCTATATTTCCCAACCACATTAGAAGCATCTTTAGTAAAGTTTGCATGTATCTTGAGTATCTCGTCTAAGATCAGGCCCTTGAAAACTACTTATTGTGTAACTGATGGAGACCTACCACTGTTTAAATCCTTGTTTATCCTTGATATTGAGAACAATTGTATAAGTAATCTTACGATTACTTAAAGAATGGGAAAATAATGATATTTTAATTTTAGAGTTCAGACTGAGGAAAGAGTGGGAGACAAGATATTTGTTTTTGGTTTTTTTTTTAAAGATTTTTATTGGAGAATTGGGGGAATGGGAACAGTACTGGGGAATTGGGGGAAGGGGAACAGATAAGTTGCTGTCCTTTTGTTCTTCAGTCTAGTTGTGGAAGACGTTGCTTCACTGGCCCAAGTTGGCACCATCATTGTGCTCTTCCCGGGCGAGGCAGATCAGTCACCGGCTTCTGGATGGCTGCTCACGGCGGCTGCTGGCCGCTCACGCTGGCTGCTGGCTACACACGGTAGCCCATGGCAACCCACTACCGCAGGGGCTGCAGTCTACGCCATCGCTGGCGACTCACGGCAGCCCAGCTCCAGGTTGAGCTGTTGTTCAGCATCTTAGCTGTGGAGGGCAGTGTCACGGGCCCGCACATGTGAGATCCGAATCGGGGCCCTCTGGCGTCCCAAGCCAGTTCTTAACCATTGTGCCACTCGGCCGGCCCAGAAATTTGTTTTACCAATGATAATTTGCTTCCTAATTCTTCACCGGAGGGAGCCACTGTAGGAGTGTGGACTAGGTTCTAGGAGGATGCTACCAGAAGATGATGTAGACCTCCTCCCCCTCCTCCCTCTTCTTCTTTTTTCATTCTTTGATGGATATTGTCTTTCCAAAGAGCTACTCAGGCTCACAAAAGTTATTGATGGTCCTAATCCAAGACCAAGTGAGTGCAAACTCCCCATCGGTTGTTAAATGGCAGCTTCCAACTCTACCCAGAAGGTTTCTGCCCTGGGGAAAAGGCTGAATGAAAGGAGGGGAAAAGTGACACCACCCTCTGGTAGGAATCAAGGGAGGTCAGTGTGGCCTGGGTGATGATGGTAGAACAGTGTTCAAAATAATTGAGCGAAAGCATGGCGTTTGAATTCCAAATTGCCATTATTCATGATTTTGAATGAAATTTTAAAA